GAGAGAGAGAGAGAGAGAGAGAGAGAGAGAGAGAGAGAGAGAGAGAGAGAAAACATTGATTGGTTGCTTCCTGCTCATGCTCTGACCAGGGCCAGGGATGGAACCTGCAACCCAGGAACATGCCCTTGACCAGGAATTGGACCCAAGATCCCTCCGTGCTCGGACAGGCACTCCAAACACTGAACCACACTGACCAGGGCCAGTTGCACTCTTAAATCTGGAGCTCGTGGGAGATGTCTGTGGTGAGGATGTGCCTTTGGTCTGTGAGATGTAGAGACAGGATTGGCTCACTTAGGGCCATGGTTCTCAACCCTAAACACACACTGCAATCACCTGGGAAACTGAGGACTGAAGCCCCAGCCCACAGGTGTGGGCCCAGGCATGGGCATTTTTTCAAGGCTCCCAGGTGATTCTGTGTGCAGCCAGGGTGGAGCTGCACTGTGTCTGAGCCCAGATCTCCAAGCAAAACTCAGGCAGAGGAGGAGGGAAACCAAGTGAAGACAGCGTGTCAAAGAGGGCTGTCTCGTACTGCCGAGAAGCTGGGACAGTCCAGGTCACAAAGGGAGTCCAGGTTGCTTTTGTTTTGGGAACAGGAGGTTGATGACCCCAATAAAAGCAATCTAATGGACTAGTGAGTGCCACTGGGAGACTGGAGTTGGTGGAAGGGAGAATGGGAGGTGAGAAAGTGGAAATGAGAGGAATCAACAACTCTTTGAGGACTTTGTCTGTGAAAAGAAACAGAGAAGTGGGGAGGTGCTGAAGGAGAATTCGAGGTCAAGGGAACGTTTCTTTTATAGATGTGAAAGTAGAACATGTTGATGTTACTGGAAATGATGATGATGATGACAATGAAATTAATGGATCAAGGAGAGGGGACAGCTCCATTTGCTGAGCTGTGAGGTGAAAGGAGCTGGGATCAGAGCACAGATGTCTTGAGAACAGATACGTCTCCTGTCATAGGTCATGAAGGAGACTCTGCAGATGCTGGTGCTCCTGTAGGTGAGGTGGTGGGAAGTGGGTGTTCACCTCTTTTTTTTTTTTTTAATATTCTAAATAAACATTTTATTAAATTTTTAAAAAAATTTTCAATTGCAGTTGACATTCAGTATTATATTAGTTATCTGACAGAGCGTTCACTTCTGTCAGATATCTGCAAGGTGAGAATGAACAGGGATCGAGGGGAGAAAATGTGAAGGTCTTGCGGGGGAGAAAAGCAGCTACTCTGGATTGCAGGATCTCTGGGCAGCATGGAGAGCCTGCTTATGTGACGTTTGCGATCACTCTGGTAAAAACAATGCAATCAGCCTGGTTGCATGACTTTCTCTGGCCGTGGGCAGCTGCCAGGCACAGAGGAAAGTTGGTCCACCCAAGGCTGGGGTTTTGCTGGACAAAGAAGACGGAAGGAGAGAGGAGTGAGAGGGGGTGGCTCCATTGGTGGAGCACAGAATCTAAGTGGGACAAGGATAGAACAGTGGACAGCAGTCACACAGAGAGTCAGAGAAGGGTCGCTGCAGTTCAGGCAGCTGGGGAGGAGCCGTATGTGCCATGCTAGAGGAAGTGGGCAGGAAGGAGAGAAGCTGGCCAGAGGCAGATGATTGGAAATAAGATTGTGACACTGTGAAGTGACAATGGAGGGTCACTGTCATAAAGACAAAGTTCAAGGGTGTGCCAAGGGTGTGGGTAGCTGAGGCAGAGTTGTGGTCAAGGGGCCAGGAAGCCAGGTCCTCAGGAGCATGATACTTATGTATATAAGGTCCCAGGGAAGGTGACAGGAAGTAGCATGAGGGGAGGACAGTAAGGAAGGCACCAGAGTTTTCATAAGACTTGCTTATCTCCCTCTGGTTCTGGGGCTCCTTGAACACAGCAATGTTTCCAGTGCCTGGCACAGAGTAGGCATGTGGTAAAATATGCATGAGAAAATGAATGAATGCATGTCTAATGTGTAATTTGATTTTTAGCCTTGACAGTTGAGGAAACTGAGGCCAGGGGTCCCCCAGAGTGTCTGAGCACTTGTGCTCCTCAGCAAAAGCAGGGTTTTTGGGTGTGCACACATGTTGAAGTCCCTTCCACCCGCCCCTCCCGGCACCTCGATCACCTTCTCCCAGCTCAGTCTTCCCAGTTGGGCTCCCTCAAGTTTGGCCTCCACACTGTTCCTTCCATAGTCTGATTGTCCCTCCACTGAGGATGAGACCAAGATCATTGCAGGATGGTCAGGCTTCTCATGCTCAGCCACTAACCCCCCCCTTAGCCCCTTGGGGCCCTCTGTATATACCTCTTCCCTTCCTCTCTGTGCCTGGAAGCCCTGGGGCTCCCTGCACCCCTGGTGCAACCTGCCCTTCACACTCCATCCAAAGGAAACCTCACTTCTCCTCTGCCCAACTGTCTGACTCTATTGCACACAGAGCCATAATTATCTGCATCCTGCCCACTGCTGCAGTGGGCTTGAGACCCACCAGGTCACCCGTGTCCCTAGAACTCAGCAGAGGGCACTGGTGTTTGCTGCAATGCATGTGAGGGCGGGTCTGTGTGCCTGTGTGAATCCCAAACGCCACTGCCAGGAACTGAAGTGAGGAGGTGCAGGCTGTGGACCACAAGGCAGAACCAAGAGGGGAGCTAAAGGCTTTATTCTCAGCAGACCTGTACACTATACATTGGGGGACAGGCAGGGCTCTTGAGGGGCCTCCTCAGGCCATCCGCATTGGCCCCAAAGGCCAGCGTGGATGCAGGGACATGTCCTCAGATATCCATTGCTCGCTCACCCTCTTGTCCCATCCCAGGCCACACCAGGTGTTCAGGGCCGGTCGCAGGGGACTGGGCCCTTCTTCCGCTCTCGGCTCAGCAGTGTCACCAACTTGGCCTTGAAGCCAGTATGGGCACCGGGGCGGCCCGAGACTCCAGCCTCATCGCCATTGTCGCCAAGCTCCAGCTCCAGCAGCCGCCTGTACTGGGCCTCCAGGCTGCTGTCATGGGCTGGGCCAGGAAAGCCCAGGTCCTCGCTGTTGTGGTAGATGGGGCTGGCCGGGGGACTGCAGCCACCTGGGCTCTCCTGTGCAGGACTCCCCAGGTCAAGTGGTGTGGGGCCAGCTTCCAGCCCAGACAGATTCTCGTAGAGGTGCTCGGTGGCGGCCAGGGACCCGCTGGCTGGCTTGCACACGGCAGCATACAGCCCAGTCTCCACAGGCAGCGGGGGCAGGCTCTGCGGCCCAGGGTCTGCCAGGCGTGCCCTACGAGAGCCTGAAGGCTCAGGCCCAGGGGGCAACTCCCGCAGCTCTCCAGGGGGCTCAAGTGAGGGCAGCGAGGTGGCCCGAGGCAAGGGGCAGGGCCTGGGCCCGGGCCCCACAATCTCAGGCAGCCGCTCCCGCTGGCGGGTGATGGCGGCCGCCACGACCCCACACAGGTCTCGAGCTCGGGGGCTGCTGAAGGCAAAGAGGCCCTCACCTGAGTCACAACGGCGGCCAGCTTCGAAGGAGAACACGTCCTGGTCATGGGTGACATGGGCAGGTCAACGGCCAAGGGGTCCCCCGATCTCCCACTGTACCCTAGTCCCCTCCACTGCAGGCCCTGTGCCTCACCTTGTCGGAGCCAAACTTGCGCAGGAAGTGGTAGGGCCAGGTGTAGAGGGCCTGCTGGCTGGCTGGCTCGCTCAGCTGGATGGCATCTTGGCCCAGCAGCAGGACGTAGGGCCCCTTCAGCTGGCAGCGGATAGCTGCCTCTGTCTTCTGCACCACCACCGGAAATTTGCCCACTGCAAGCAGAGGGCACAGATGCTATGGTCCCTAGAGGTTCCAGCCCTGGGTGTGGTGGCACCGAGGCTGCCCCTGTACCTCCCTGACTCACCTTCCTGCCAGGAAGAGTAGATGGAGTTCTCTTCCATGGGGACCAGGCCCCGCTTGGGAGCCTCTGCCTCCCCTGATCCAGAGGAACATTCCCCTGTGCCCTGGGGAATGGGCCAAGGTCAGAGATTAGAGTCCCCCATCCCCAAGCCTCTTCCTGCGCTCTTTTCATGGGCAGAGATGTCACTGGGAACCTGGTACCAGTCCCAGCTCTGCCTCTGACACACTGTACAAGCCTGGGCACCCCTCTGAGCAGATTTCCCCGAGAGTTGTAAATCAGGGACACACAATGGCATGGCCCCCTCACCCTTGCACTAGGCTAGGGACCAGGCCAGACCATGTGTGTCCCCCACAGCTTAGAGTGGTGAAAGAGCAGGAGCTTCAGGGGTGAGAACAAGTGAACTGGCCACTCACTCCTCCCCAGGCCTCTGGCTCCATTTCAACCCTCCCTACCCCTAGTTCCCTCATGTACTTCAAGCTGACTCTTAGCACCTCAACCATGACCACCTTGGCCCATGGTAGCATGGCCAGGGCCAAATGCAACAGGTTCCTCACTGTCACCTTGCTCCTGTTCAATTTTTTTTTTTCCAATTTTTAAACTGAAAAAATTTAAATGCACAATATAAAATTTACCATTTTAATCATTTTAAAGTGTACAACTCAGTGTTTTTTAGTAAAGTCACAAGGTTGTGCAACCATCACCTTTCTCTAGTTCCAGAACTTTTCATCACTCCACATGAAAACCCATACCCATGCCACATTGCTCCCTGCCCCAGCCCCTCGCAAACACCAACCCGCTTTCTATTGCTATGGAATTTGCCTAATCATACAATAGGTGGCCTTTTGTGTCTGGCTTCTTTCACTTAGCTTAATATTTTTGAGATTCATCCACTGTGTAGCCTGTGTCACTACTGCATTCCTTTCATGGCCGAGCAATGTTTCATTGTATGGACAGACACATCTGGCTTATCCACCATCAGCTGACAGACATTTGGATTGTTTGCTCCTTTGCCTTTTGGGAATAGCGCTGCTCTGAACATTCTTGCACATGTTTTGTTTGAACATGTTTCAATTCTCTTGAGAATTGCTGGGTCATATAGTAACTCTATGTTTCACTTATTGAGGAACCCACCAGACTCATTTCCTTTTGGTCCATTACAGACTTTGTGAAGTTTTAAAACTCAGTCCCTAGCTCAACCCCTCCCAAAGGCTTCTCCTCTCACTCATAATAAAACCTCAAACTCCACATGTGACCCAAGGTGGTTTTAGCTGGCCCTCACCAGACTCTGCCTCCTCCTGGGCCCTCCCATTCCTTGCCCTCCAGCCAAACCAAACTTTTCCCAGCCTCAGAGCCTTTACTCACACTGCTGTTCCCTCTGTTCAGGACACTCCTTAGACCTGTGTCTGGGACACTTTCCTCAGATGTTTCCCTGGTGGGCTGTCCTGGAGGACTCCTGAGAGGTCTTCTGAGACCATCCTGACTAATGTCCTCTGTTTCACTCCTGGTCCCACCCCAGCCTTTCATTTTCTCCATAGCATGTATGGCCATCTGAGACTTATTCTGTGGTGTCTGGGCTGTTTCCCAGGCTCATAGGTGCTTGGCAGGTGCTTGCTGAGTGACAGGATGTGAATGAATAAATAAGGCGGGGGTGAGCTGGTCCCCCCAGGGCCAGACCTTGGATGCCCTGCCCGCTTGCCCTGTGCTCACCGGGAAGGCCAGCTGGCAGATGGGACCCATCCATGACTGACGGTGCTGTGCGGCCAGGAGGTGGCTTCTCTCGGTGGTGGTGAGCAGGAAGGCACCAGTGTCCCGGGGGCAGCTCTCACCGTCAGCTGGCAGCACTGATACGCAGTCAGCCAGGCGGATGACCCGCCGTTCTCCCCGTCGGCTAGGACCTGCAGACCTGTCACCAGCTGGCCCGGGGCCACCATCCCGGACTTCCCAGCTCTCCAGCCGCGCCACACCTGATGGGCCCCCTGCATACAGCAGACCCCACACTTTCCGCCAGGACTTCTGCAGGAGATGAGGATGGGGGTGAAGGCCTTCACTGCAGCTCAGCTCAGCACAAGCCACTCAGCAAACACTCGTGGCCACCCAGGCTAGCCTCTGCCTCCCCCAACTCCTCAGGGCCTCAGAGAAGGAGGCCTTGCCACAGCCAGCCTAGCAGGGGGAAGAGTCTGTGCTTGGAGTCAGCCAGCCATGGGTTTAAATCCATCCCTTTCCTGATACCCTCATAAGCACTAGTGTCCTGGTCTCTCAAAAGGTCATGACACGGTGAGGTTGGGGCTTCTACTGGATAATGTCCGTAAAGTATCTAGTGACTGAAACAGACCACCTGACAATGTTATTCCGTTGGTGCCCCAACCCCCGCCAAGGTCACATGGGCCATGGACAAGGACTGTGGTGGGAGGGAGGCCTCACTCTCATGATGGCAAGGAAGGAAACATGCAAATAGCGTCAAGCAAAGGAAACAGACCGTTTATCTGCTTGAGTAGCAGTTGCAGCTGAGCTGTGGGGGTGCAGGGCCTGCTGCCTGAGGAGAAGTGAACCCCCTATTATGTCCCATGACAGTCTGGGAGGAGCCGAACTTCTGCAGGGTGGGGCTCCACCTCTGGGGGCTCCTCCAGCTCATCCCCTGGCCTTCCAAAGGGTGGAAGGCTGTTGGATTAACAAGCCTCCCGGCTCTGCCCTGCGCCAAGTTTTGGGTTCTTACGCCCTCCCGACTCCTGGCTTCCCCATCTATAAATGAGGTAGGGTCTCCCCAAGGCCCACTCAGGGTCAGCCCTCCTGCTCAGGATGAGAAAGGGGCTCTCTCCTACCCCATACCTGGGTTAGATCCCCCACCCTGACTCCCATCACCATTCTCCCTGGTCCAGGTGGGCTGTCTGAGGCTGGGGTGGAGGCCCACCGATTATCCTGGGCAGCCAGGGTCCCCACCTTGCCAAACTTGACGTGCTGCTGGTAGAGGATGCCATCCTTGACGGGGGTCTCCAGAGGCTCCATGGCCGCGGCGGGCCCCAGGGCCGCCACTCCGAATGCCTGAGGAGACTGGTGACAGGCCGAGGGGAACTCCTCACACTTCCCCTTCTGGCCACTTCCCCTCCCTCCGTCCAGAGAGGCAGCTGTATGACTGGGGGAGGGGAGCCCCTTCTTCAGTAGAGGAGCTAGAATAGGGGGTGAGGGCATTACATATTTTTACCTTAGGGTTCTGACTGACCCAGGTGCTCACACATGCCTGGTGGGGGCCTCAGACTGCCTGAGGGCAAATGACCCTTGCTCGCAGCTGGATCAGCTGGGTGTGAGTAAATATTACACTTACAGGCTGGGTCCCCAGCCATGGACTGACCCCTCCCCTTGCCCCCTCAGGGCAGTTGTACACTGAGGCCTAAGATTTCCACAGCCAGACTGGCAAACTCCTTGCCTTCCCACTTGCAACCCTGGTTGGTAGGCTTGTCCTTATCTCAAAATATTCCTAATCACTTGCTCTCTTCTATCTTCACAGCCCACTCCAATGGCAGAGCGAGCATCTCCCCTTTGAACCACCGCCCCACCAATCTCTCCCCTTTCTAAACGTTTTTCTTGCTCCTCACTGCCCTCAGGTGTAGCTTGGGCTCCTCAGCCCAGCACCCAGTCCAACCTCTCCAGGGCACCCACCACTGTGCTCCTCTGGGGACCAGCTGCCTCTTCCTCTGGGAGGCCTCCCCTGATCACTCTATGCTGAGTGCAAAGGCCCCAGCAGTGCCCTAGTCCTCATGTGCAGCCTTGGCCACATGAATGTAGGTGGCAGGCTATATATATATTTTTTTGCCTTGCTTTGCTGAAGGCCAGTATGATGGCTTTGCATGTGGCTCTGAATTTTGGAAATAGCTTCATGCCATTCATTCAAAGATACCTCTGAAAAGGAACATGTAAACAGGCTAAGAAATCTAGTTTGGGGGTCACATATGAAGTGCTGCTTCTGGGGCAGGAAATCTTTCCCAAGGGCCTCCTGCACCCGGCTTTGTGCCAAACATGGACCAGAAAACCCTGAGCTCCAGCCTACAAACCCAGCCCTTTGCATTCTCACTGTCATTTCAACAATGAGGAAATCGAGGCCCAGAAACATTAAGTAACTTGCCCAAGGTCACACACAACGTGACAAACATGGCTTGAGCAACTGCTGTCCTGGGATAAGCATGTGGCCTTGCACATGAAGTGCCTGGCACAGAGGAGCTGCCACCAGCACTGGTCCTCTTCCTACCCCTTGCCAGATGTGGAAATCCCAATCCATTTGCCAACATTCTCATGACTGCTGCCCATGTTCATTACATCTACTCTCTCTCTGTCACCTGTGAGCTGCCCAGCAGAGAGCTTGGTACAGAGCATATCAGGGAGTGCTTGTGGCCTGAGTGGCAGTCCTATGGCACCGGCTACCCCTTAGCAAATGGAGCGGAAGATTCCCTACCAGGAACAGGGGGCTTAAGGCAGGAAGGGGCCCTAGGAGCTTCATACAACTGAAAAAGGGAGGCTGGGACAGGGCTGGAGGTTATGACAGCCAACCAGAGACCCAAAAACCCAACCAAGGATTTTGCCTTGTTTACCAATGTGGTGCCTGAGTCGAATAAAGCTCAGAGGGGCGCCCCAGCTAGATGCCTTCTTCCACAACTGAGCAATCTGGGTGTTGGGGAGAAACCCAGGCCCTGCTTCAGAAGGGCTCTGGAGGTCAGAGGATAAGGCTACCAGGAAGTAGTGGGCAGACGAGGTGAATCAGAGAGGCAGGGCTGGGGCTGAGACTAGAGAGGCTTGTGCTTTAATGGCAAGTGGGGTAAAGGGGAGCAAAAATATTAATTCCAGGGTCACAGAGGGCAGGCAGGCAGCCAGGCCCAGCCTGGCCCAGCCCAGGCCAGCTGGGCCGAGGATGCTGGCTTCTTGTCCAGGGGGCTGGTATGTGGGAGGCAGCTGGAACCCAGGGACTGAAGCCTCTTGGAGAAGAGGGATGACAGGCGGCTAGAAGTCCATGGAGCTGTGGGCCAGGTAGTCCTTGCGGCCGATGTTGCTGACCTGCTTGGTCTGCATGGCCTCGAGTTTGGGGCAGTCGGTGATCCGATGGCCCAGGCCCCCGCAGAAGGCACAGCCACGTTCTCCTGGGGGCATGAGGTATAGGGGAACGGGGATCAGCATGGTGACAGGGCCAGGTACCATGCTCCAGACCTGGCCCCGCCCCACCAGACCCCTCCATCCACTCATGTGCAGTGTGGACTTGTTTCGTGGTGTTCTGGTCATGCCCCCCTCTGAACTACTGTTTCCCATTTTGCAGTCACCTCCAATGTCCAGCATGGACTCGTCCCCACAGTGCAGCACTTGCAGCACAGGTGGCACCTTCTGCTTGGCCTCCAGTAGCAGGGCTTTGAGGTCCATCAGCACTGACTCATCTGTGGGAACAGTGGGGAATCATTAGGTCCAACCCTGGGCCCTGTAGGGCTCGGGGAACAACTGATGTGGCCATGGCAGTAGACTCACCGCAGGCCTTGTTGATGAAGGTGGTGGCGATGCCTGTGTTTCCTGAGCGCCCGGTGCGGCCTATTCTGTGCACTGCAGAGAGAGGAAACAGCCTCTGGCCCACTGCCCGGGACTGGGGCCTAGCCCACACCCCAATCCCGTAAGCTCCCACCGTAGTTCTCAATCTCCTCAGGCATATCGTAATTGATGACGTGCTGGATGGCAGGGAAATCCAGGCCCTTGGAAGCTACGTCTGTAGCCACTAGAACATCCTTCTTGCCCTCCCGGAATGCCTCAATGGCCTTGGTCCGTTCTTCCTGGTCTGGGGAGGGTCAGGTATTAGCTGTCACAGTGACAGCAGGAGTCTGGGGAGTAGTGGCAAGCCAGCCAGGCAGGGAAAGGGGTTAGGTGAGGGGCCGCTATAGCAGCAGAGTCCATGCCTACACACATGCCACCCTGACCTTTGCCCCCATGGATGGCCACAGCCTCGACCCCCTTGAGCAGTAGGTACTCATGGATGGCATCCACATCTGCCTTCTTCTCTGCAAAGATGAGCACCTGTCCAGAAAGGCCAATTCCAGTCACAGGGACTGCCTCCGCCCAGTGTCCCCAACCTTCCCGTGTGCTGCCCCTACCGCCCTCTTCCTTCCTCCTGAGGGTTCTGGGCAAGCCTGGCCAGCTGCACTCACCGGCGGAGGTGTCTTTTGCAGGCACTCGAGTAGGTACACCATCTTGGCCTCCTCCTTCACGTATTCTACCTCCTGCCACAACAGGGGCTAGGTCAGGTGGTCCTGAGAACAGGCTCACCAGCCATGCCCTACCACAGAAGCTTGGCCCCCCAATCCTGGCCAGGAGGTCATCAGAAGCCTCTTGCAACCAAGGGCTGGACACCCTAAGAATGTTTCCTGCTAAGGGTTGGGGCTTTGAATGAAACCCCCAGTGTCCCCAAGGTTGACCACCCACCCTGCTCCAATCAGCTTCAAGGGAGTCTCACTAGACCCAGTACTCAGTGATGAGAATGCCTACCAGGAGTGCTTGCCTACCTGTATGACATCTAGGCTGGCGGCCCCAGCACGCCCCACATTGATTGTGACAGGCTTCACCAGGGCGCTCTTGGCAAAGTTCTGTATCTTCTTAGGCATGGTGGCACTGAAGAGTAGGGTCTGTCGCTGGCCCTGAGGAAGGGGAGAGCTGGGGCTGAGGGCACATGAGGGCTGGGGAAACTGAGCAGCTGGGACAGTGGGTGGGGTGGACAGCCCTGAGGGTGGCAGGAGTGCCCTGGCCAGGCAAGGACAGGCACCTTGAAGTAGGAGAAGATAGTGCGGATGTCGCCCTCGAAGCCCATGTCAATCATGCGGTCAGCCTCGTCCAGTGCCAGATAGCGACAGATGTCTAGGCTGACCATCTTCTTTTGCAGTAGATCCATGAGGCGCCCAGGGGTGGCCACCATCATGTGCACACCACTGGGGACCAAGGAGAGACACTGAGGTTGGGGCCACCTGCTCAGCCCTACTTAAAAGCCGACACTGTGACTTCCCCCCTCTGGCCTCCTTCCTGTCTCTCTTCACCTGTCCCCTCCTCATCACTCCCACCACCTTACCCTATGTACAGCATACACCTCTACTGGAGCAGGCTGCAGCCTTCTCCAACAATGCCATCTGTCGTCTGGAGCTCTTCCCACCCACATGTTCACCTCTGCCTGGCACACCTTTCCCCCTTCTCCTGGGTCATTCCGCTTGCCCTCGGTAGGGGGCTGTCTTGAATCTTCAAATAGGCCTCAACCTGCAGTCCCCCAGCTCCCTCCATAGGGCTGGGAGGGCTCACTTTACTGGTATGCTGAACTCAACTGTTCTGTGTCTGAATCTTCCCTGAGACCCCGATGCCTATCAAACAGTGACTGGGTGTGACCTGTCTGTGACTCCAGACAGCTGGGGACTGCACTGTGTGGAAGAGCACAGGTCCAGCCCTGCCCCAGTGCCTCAGCCTTCTTGCTGGACTACACACTGAATGACCCTAACCTTTCTGGACACCCCAGGCACCCCACCTCTGTCTTCTGCCTGGAATGCCCCGATCCACTGACTTCCCAGATGCCTCTGTTCCATCTGTGTCCCCTCAGTCCCTCACCACATCCCCTTGTCCCACCCCAGCTGACCTCTCTGTGAGATTGGGGGCTCCTTGAATTAGGCCTCTGCAAGAATCTGCGGAATAGCTAAAGCAAAGGATCATTCAGCTTATCTAGGGGCTTTGAGGAGGCCCTGGGTAGGGGTTGCTTATGCTCACTGTCGGATGGTCTCCATCTGCTCTTTGACAGACATGCCCCCGATGCAAAGCGCACAGCGCAGGAGTGGCGAGCTGTCCTCCTGCAGCAGGCGGCAGTAATACTCCAGGATGCCGTGGGTCTGCCGGGCCAGCTCTCGCTATAGATACAGGGGCAAGGGCTGGTACCAGAAGACAGTCTCATTGGTGCCCTGCCCCCCAGGCCAGCCTGTCTTACCGAGGGACAGATAATGAGTCCATAGGGCCCTTCACGCTTGGAGAAAGGTAATCTCTTTTCCTGTTCCAGGCAGAACATGATGACGGGCAAAGTGAACACCAGCGTCTTGCCTGAACCCGTGAAGGCAATGCCTATCATGTCACG